ATAATAATAATAATAATAATAATAATAATAATAATAATAATAATAATGTGTTATCCCAATTGTAATTGGAGCCCTTGGAGCAATACCTAAAGGGCTGCCTCACTATTTGGAAATCTTGAATTTATCAGACTTGAATACCCTGATTCTACAAAAAACCACCCTACTTGGAGCAGCTTATATCCTCCAATGCTACCTGAACAGTTCCTAGGTCCTTGGTTAGGACTCGAGCTGTTGAGCTACCAACCAGCCCCAAAGGCTGTGAATATTACTAAAGATTAAACAACAACAACAAATAATAATAATAATAATAATAATAATAATAATAATAATAATAGTAGTAGTAGTAGTAGTAGTAGTAGTAGTAATGGAATAACAAGCTTCAGCTCGACTAAGTGACTTTGGGTGCTAGAGGCCCCTGGTTTTTGAGACTTTCCACTTTTTATTTTAGATGAGAGTTGTGATACTTCAAAAAGAACCTGTGTGCAATTTGGGGGCGGGGGTGTGTGTGTGTCTAGCTCTTGTTCAAAGAACAAGCGATAGCCATCCCCCTAAGGGCCTTTGCACAACTATCTGTTGTGTGACCGGGAAGCCCAGCTCGTAGTCTCTCGTATCTTGATCACACACCTCTGCTCTGTAGGCTGCACTGGTTGCCGTTCTGCTTCCAGGTGCCATTGAAGATGCTGGCGATGACCTATAAAGCCCTTCATGGCACAGAACCAGATTATTTGAGGTATCGTCTCTCTACCATCAGGTTCCGTCAAGTCTTTTTCTGTCCTGGATCCTTCTCTGCGGAACATCATTCCTCTAGAGCTCAGATTGGCCTTGATCCCTGTTCACTTTTTGCACGGTCTTAAAAACGTGGAATATGTTTTTTGAGCTGCATACCTGTTCTTGTGTGGAAATGTAATCATCAATGAAAGGAACGCCCTCATTGGGACCCTGCCCCCGGACACACGTGATCCTGGCCACTGACATCTGACTGGGTTTGATGGTGGATTTGGTCCCGTCACTGCGAAGCTCAGCTTCCTCCTATCGCAGATGATGAAAGGATGAATAGATACCGCTTTTTTGATCACAGAATCCAGAAACCTTGTCTTCTTCTCCTAATGTGTGACGCCTACCTCATTGAGGGTGACAAACTCGGCATCCAATCCCACCAAGTCTCCAACCTGAGGCATTTCGCTCAGCATGAGGGGGATGAAAGTGGCGTGACACTTGCGCTGTTTGCGAGCAAGGGAAGCCTCAGCAAGCAACACGCTGGCTTCAATCGGGTTCTTGACTTGAAAAAGAAAATGAAATTTGATCATCACAGTTGACTCACTCAGAGATTACACTCCGTTTACAGAAAAACCAAACAAAAAGGGAAACCCCATCTCGGTCAGTGGATGCCCCAGAGAAAACCTCAAGAGCACAACTTCCTTCGTACAAATGATACTATTTTCTAAGAATCGGTTGATCACTCAAACCTAACGGGCCTAAAACTCTTAAAAGAAAACCTCTAATGCCATAGGACTGACTTCCCTAGAAGAACTGAACAACAGAATTTAAAACAAGGGTTTTTTTTTTTTAATAAGATAGATCCATAACAAGGGTGACTCAATCCTGAAGCTGGCCACATTTCTAGAAACATGCCAAATAGATTTCTGATGGCACATGGAGTGTAGTTTCAGGAATCCACATTATCCATTCACACTTAATTCAATTCAAAATACATTAAAATTAAGATGGAGAACTCTACTGAAGCTGCTTCTCAAAAAGTGACCAGCAGCCTTGCAATAAATATCTGGACACACTGGTTTATGTGGAAAAACAGCTGCATAGCTGCTTCAGCATTCATCTAAACACCCTCCAACAATTTCTATTTCAGAGCACAACGAAAGTGTTTTGGTTAGCAATGTTTTTCATCCTGGACGCGACCTCTGTTGTCTATGCTGATGGGCCTTTTCATCTCATGATGATCGCTCAGTTTGTTTCACTTCCTCTTGAGAGTACTGCACTTCCTTGCAAAACATATTTACTTTGTTGTCTCAATCTTTGTGGTGTTAACTTATGACCACCTCTCAAAAATTCCATCCTCACATTCACTGACTGTGAGGGAGGATAAGGCTGTTTCTCCTCCTGGCTGTGCAACACTATTATATGATGCTTCTCGTTGGAATTTCCATTTGGCTGTAAAGGCAATGAAAGAAAAGATCAAGGAGTGGGTGCCCAGTGGTTGTAAGGAAGGCTGAAAGTGAGGAAATTGGGGTTGTTCAACATGAGAACACAGGTCACTCCAAGCAGGACAGAAACCTTTCTCTCCTCCTAGAACACTAAAGGTTTCATGTGCATGTGCTAAATATGTACAAAATAGGTTCCTGAAAAACAACCAAGTGAGGATATAAGAAAATGAACTGTCTGAAGGCTAAGCTAGTCATATACCCCACTTGTTAAGTAGACAGAGCTATCTTTTAAAAATACAGGAAGGAAAGCCTAGCTGCCTTGCTTGACAAGGAGATTTCACTGGGCAATGTAAGGCAGGCAGAACCCAACCAAGCCCCACGGCTTGATGAACCTGAATATAACTTCTGACTTTTCAAACTGAGCATCATGTCAAGTGAATTATTCATTTAGGGTATCATTATTTTTTTAGTTGTGTGGGAAGCAATTTTCTTCAGGCAGGAGAACAAGAGGGCCCAGAGAAATATGCTTAAATTAAATCATAATTATGCTCTTGGTTATTCAGGATGAACATGGCCTCTTTCCTACACTCAATTTCACCTAATCAGCGTTTAAAACAGATAGGTGGCTTTAAAAAAAACATTATTTGAACTCAATATGCTTACTAACCACTGTAGCTTACTGGGATCTATGAACTGGGCTCATGGTGCAATGACATACTATTGAATCACACTCTATTCCTATTATACAACCTTCAAAGCCACTTACTCAGTAACACCTCTCTCTCTATGTCCCTGTATAATAAGGGGGCTTAGCTGCTGGAGTTCCTGAACAAAGATATCAGTACAGGTAGTCCTCAACTTATGACTGGTTGTTTAGTGATTGTTCAAATTTACAACAGACTTCCCTGGGAGTACTTATGACCTAGTTCCAAAGTTACAACAGACACTCCTCCCTTTCTGTCAGATGACTGTATTTCACAGTCTCGGCAAGTGGCCCATTTATGGCTGTTTGAGGCATCCCAGTCATTTGACTGCATTTTATGACATTTTTTGCTGGCTTTTACTGCTGGTTTTCAGCAAAACTGGCCTATAGTGAACAATTGGTTTGCTTTACAGCCATTGCAAAAAAAAGAGTCATAACATTGGCTCGGTCATGTTAAGTGGACTGTTTTACAACCATCACAATTTAGGACCATGATGGGCAGTCTCCGTTATAGTCATAACTCAAGGACCACCTCTATGTCATTACAATAAGTTATAATAAGACAATCATCTAGTACTTGTTTAGGAATTCCTGTAGCCATGCTTCTTATATACATACCTATATAGAGGGACCTTATAGCTCCTGCCCTAATATTACTGGATACCTGGGTTATAAGAGACGAAAGGTTATCATCATGGCTGAACCTGGTTGTCAGGTTTTAAGAAACAGCAACTCCTAATTTCTTGCTGTTTTTGTAACTGCATTTGTACATGCAAACACACTCACTGTGTAAATTGTACTTGGAGTGGAGGTTCCTCCGCACATAATAAAGGATAGCAGGCACTTTCCAGGTCATGTCAAATTGGACAGCCTCACACTGTAAATCCAAAGGCAGACAGGGAAAATCAGACAGACAGAAGTAGGAGAACAGACAGATCAGAAATGAGTTCTGGAACCTGTTTTTAATTAAAATGAAAAGGTGGGGGGAAATAGTTCAAAATAAGAAATGTTGACTTAGAATTGTGCCTGTCTGAGCTGACTAAATTTCTTTAGATGTGAATGCTGAATGTCAAGGAAGTTTCAGCATGGATACAACTTATGACTTGGATGAATGAATACCCACATTTGTTTATCCATGGCAACAGTTCAGGGCAACCCTGGCTAGATTGTAAATTCTAAGACCCTAAAGACAAGATCTCAAATTTCTCAGTGGGGGCACAGCAACTTGGTGCATATTCCGTGGCACAAGGCATATACATTAGTAAAATATGCTTTATAAATATGTTACATCTGTTCTTGTAGTAACATTACATGTCTCCAAATAAAATAAGTTATTTTATGTCCACGACTATAAAAGACATTTCACATACCATCTTTAATGTACAATTTAATATTGTTTGCAGGGCAAAAAATGTAACATAGGCTATGATGTCTCAGCTAGGCTTTTCAATAAAACAGAGATTCACAGACACTTTAAAACAAATATCAATTCTCATTAATATGGAAATATGACTTGAAACACTCCAATCTATGTAGAGCTACTTTCTAAAGATATACTCTTTCAAATCTATTCAATTCTGATCTCCACTTTATGTCAAAACACTCTATAAAATCCAAGCTGTCTAGTTTTAAAAAGCACGGAAAGTGAATAACTTCACACCAAATATTAATTTTCATTTCTCTTGTATGTGGGAAAGCAAGAGCACAGAATAAATCATCAAAATATCTTTACCTTATCCACAGGCTCAATGAGAAAGTCATTAAAAAGATACCACTGCTGGTGTGTGACACCCTTAAGAAAAGAAAGTTATGTATTGAAGGTGCATTGCAATCATACATTACAATTAGGTGCAATTAAGTCATACATTTAACCCCCTTCCATTTAATAGGAATCGACAGTTACAGACCAGAGACGCACTGTTTTTTGTTAAAAGTCTCACCTCCTTTCTTTGGTGGTAGGTCTCTCCAACTTTGATATGCCCCACAAGGCTGCCACCAGTCCGGGAATCTAAAATATGTACAACTGTTGCCATGAGGTCATAGATGTACGTAGATTCTTGATCCTCCAACATGCCCAACTGCAACAAGACAGCTCCAAAAGTGAGCTAGTTTTCTCCCCAAAGAGGAAAAGCACACTGTTTTTAGTACTCCTGAAACCAGCCCCCTGGACAGTTCAACTCCAATATGTTTGCCTTTCCAGAACCTTATATCCTAATGTCAGTGTGGCAGAACGAAGCTTGGAGCCTAACTTGCCTTATTTGTTCATTTATCCTTCATCGTGTTCTCTCCCATTTCATGAATTGACATAAATGATTTAACCTGATGAACCTTTCTTCTCTGAGAGCTGACTCACAGTAAACGAACAACAACTTAGCAACATAAATGTTGGGCTCAATTGTGATCGTAAGGGACTACCTATACATATGACAAGTTTGGCTGCTGGTGGTTCCCCAGCATACCTCTTCTTCATGTTTTCATTTGCCTGGACTTATCCAGCCTTCCCTTAACCGCTAGTGCTACTGCTGTAATATAGCTCAACCATTAGCAGGCAGATGTGGGTCAGCTTAAATGTCCCTGCAACCTTTATTTCTGATACCTCTTGCAGAGGATCTGGCCAAAACTAACTCTAACTTCATCCCACTACTATGAATCTTCAAATAATTTTGTACTGAATGTATAATTATTGTCTTTAATTTATTTTAGGAGAATGGAGAACTGGGTGCAGTCCTCTCTGCAGTTTCCTGGGAATAAGTCCCACTGCAGTGAGCGGAAAACACTTCTAAGCACACAAACCTGGGTTCGATTGTACAGTATGACAGGAACAGACTGGACAAAAATAGCAATAGCATTGAGACTTATATACCGCTTCACAGTGCTTTTACAGCCCTCTCTAAGCGGTTTACAGAGTCAGCATATTGCCCCCAGCTCTCTGGGTCATTTTACCCACCTCAGAAGGATGGAAGGCTGCTGGCAATCGGCAGAGTTAGCCTGCAACACTGCATTCGAACCACTGCATCATGACAGCTCTTTAGGATCTACTGCTAATTTTTATGAAGATTTATAACAGATTGGTAAACTTAACCCAGATGGATTACCTATTGCAACTAATGATATTTCTCCATAAAAATTTGCTGCCTTAGGAAGACTATTTCAGGGAAAATCTAATACAAACTACTGTGTGTAAATTCTCAAGCTGAAATCAAATTCCTGGGTGGAGCCTATATTCAAAGTCTTTAGTTTTATATCTTTGAAAGTTCCTCGAGCCATTGTTTTCCATCTTGCTCTGGAATAGATGGAAGAAAGGATGCATCAATCCTGAAGTTTGCCTATCTCTATCTTAATAATGTAAGAGACAGAGAGGCAGGTGTAGATAACAAAATAAAAGAGTTGGAAGGGATTTTAGAGGTCTTCTAGTCCAACCCCCTACCCCAAGCAGGAAACCCTATACCATTTCAGACAAATGGCTGTCCAATCTCTTCTTAAAAGCCTCCAGTGTTGGAGCATTCACAGCTTCTGGAGGCAGGTCATTTCATGATTAATTATTCTGTCAGGAAATTTCTTCTGAGTTCTAGGTTGCTTCTCTCCTTGATTAGTTTCCACCCATTGCTTCTAGCTTTGTCTTCAGGTACTTTGGAAAAGAGGTTGACTCCCCCTTCTTTGTAGCATCCACTCAAATATTGGAACACTGCTATCATGTCACCACTAGACCTTCTTTTTCACAAGACTAGACTTACCCAATTCCTGCAACTGTTCTTCATGTTTTAGCCTCCAGTCCCCTAAGCATCTTTGCTGCTCTTCTCTGCACTTTTTCTAGAGTCTCAACATCTTTTTTATACTGTGGTGACCAAACCTGAATGCAAACTAGATAACCCAAGCATTTCTTTTTGGCTAAATTGCCATTTCTCCCACATTGGTCCAAATTACCACGTGGGAAGAAGCTTGACAGCTTTTATTTGCAAGCTGCCTTAGTACCTTTATGGTGGAATAAAAAACAAAGAGTCTGAAATTGATTTTTCCTGATGAGTTCTTTCTCTACACCTTACACTATTTGCAGCTTAGAAAAGCAACAAAGAAATGAAAACTTGTTCTCACCTACTGAGGCTTTTGAAAATTAAATACTTAAATTCTTTCTGGGATGATTTAAGCATTCCTTCTTAAAGTGGGCAATGGTTCTGTGCAACACAATTAACATGGTTTGGGAGCATTCACAAGAACTAGGATACCAAGAAAACATTTCATATTTAAGTCGGGTATAAGGAAAGTATTTTAAGGAAGTACTTTCTTGTAAACAAGAAATATTTTACTTCACTGCTTTCATCCCAGTTGTAAACCTCCAACTCCTTGTTCTTGGAGAGCTTCATCTTGATGGAATAAGGAATCCAGATGTTCTTTAGCTCTTCAATGGAGGTGTAAGAGTGTCCTCCCTCAGCCATTCCTAACTCATTCCTGAAAGCAAAGCAAATGCCAATCGATATCACAGAGGTGGAAGGAATTATCAGTGAACAGGACTGAGCAGCAGACTTTTTTTTCCTGTGCTCAAGCACCCAATACTGCCAGTCAAAGAAATGAGACTGATTAGTTCAGCGAGAAATGGCATTAATTATCTCATCATCCATAATTACAATGGACCAATTCTATACTCTTTTGTGTCTAACTGCACTTTTCCATCTGCAGTATAATTGCAATCTTACTGCTTCAGTGACTTTCTCTGTCCTTTCATTACGTGTCTTGGTATAATTAAGAACATGGTAGAAGCAGTCATGTAATTCAGTAACAAGGCTTATCATTAAGGAACGGTAGGGCCAGGACAAAGTGTTAGGAAAAGTAGGGATTCCCTGGATAGAAATGGTACTTACCATTCTCCAACTGCTATTTCTCTACTTTTGGGGAATTCCAGGCAACCCTTCTTCAGCATCTTCTTCTTAAAAGCATACTGTCAAAGAAAGGATGAACCTGAAGCACAGAAATCTAAATCTAAATTTGATATACATTGATTTTTTTTTAGTTTACTATCAACTCAAGCGGATCAAGATAGGATAAGTTCTCCAACTGCTTCTCAACATGTTGTATGAGGAACACATTCTACTTCTGTTTGCCAATGGCACTTCTAACTTATTCCAGTATATAGTATACAGTGTGTGTGTATAATGTACAGATTAAGAAATTCTGTGGACGATTTCCCAAACCACATCTTGATAACTGACCACTGGAAATTGGTTTCCTTATTTTGGGTTATCTTAACTGAGGTCCCACCTGTAAAACTAGAGGCATTAGAAATGGAGTAAGGATCTTGAATGGACATGAATCAGAGGTAGTGAACTGTTTGACAATGCATTGTTTGAGGCCACCTGAGAGGTGACTGCACCTAAAGAATGGCAATAGAAAACAACATACGTGTGCATCTCCCTACCTCAGCTTGCACCTTCCAAAATTCTGCTTCCTTGGAGCTGTTGACTTCACAATTAATGACTAACACATCTGGCAGACAGCGGATGTTGCGTGTCTGGACCTGCAATGGCAGATAGAGAGAGATGTTGTGTAATACTGAAGCAATGACACAGATTGAATCTTTGTAACTTTATTTGGTAATGCCTAGTTATGGGCATGCTCTGATCAGACTAAGGATCATTATTCTGATCTTTCAGCAGTTGTTCATAGAAAAACTGATAGCGGGAACCAGGGGAGAGGGGAATACTATTTTTCTTCTTTAAATTAATATTTTATCTTCAAAATCAATTTATCATAGATCTTGCCACAGATCTTGGAATCATACTAACGCCTGGTCATCTGTCAATCAAATGCACAATTCCCATTCTCAAAGCAATCCCAGATAGTATGGCTGTATATGCCATACCTAAAGTTTTCTATGCATCAGTGCTACAGACCTCTTATTGCCTGGGCCCACCCAACACTTCCCTCACCACTTACTGTGGGTTGGTACTTCTCGCAATTCTCACACCAGGCCTGAGTGTTCTGTTCCAGACAAATGCTTCTCTTTAATATCTGGGCAAATTCATAATCCATTATTTTATCTGGGGGAAAACGGAGGCACAAAAAGAATGTATTTGCATTGCTGCAAAGTTCAGAATAGGACATCAGACATCGTGAGACTGAGATATACACACGGGGAAGAAAACAAACCCTGCTAAAGAAAAGCAGATGGCATCAAGGAATAGTTGCCGAGACCAGTTGAAAAGCCCAATTCCAATAACTGTCTCCTCAGGAATCTTGAACTTGGTCACTATGAGCACACCATTCAAGCAAGTAACAGATTGTTTTAGGCCCACTTGACAAGGATCAGATATACAGACAATTCACTTCTATCTCTGCACAAGGCCTAGGCATGCATTAGAAGGGAAGAAATCAGTTTGAAACCTATGGAAATATAAGCAACCCGGGGCTAATTAATCGCTTCAGTGTTAATGATATGATTGCTCAATGTATGCATGTCACATTAAAACATAGTCTTTTAAGATTTGTCTTCCTATTCTTCTTAAAACCTCTTTTGATAGATGAGTGTGGTAGAAATTATTTAAATTAGAGTAGACAAATTGCTTGCTCATGCGAACTAAGCATATTTTATCTATTCATTCAATCAATCAATCAATTGTATTATGCTTTAGAAACCTGGGATTGAGAAACCAAAATTCTTATTTCAATCATTCTATGAACTTGGTATGTTTCCTCCAGCACATTTATATTTTCTAAGTGTAAAATGAAAAGTATCACTATAAAAGGCTACAGGGTTGGTTTGAGTAAGAAGGTAAAAATGGCAAAGCACATGAGAGAAACTGCTACAAAAATTAAATAACAGAAGGCCCGTCTATTTGTTACTCAGAATTTAACTTAGGTTCAACCAAACCTAAGATGCCAACAACTAAATATCTGAGAGATGGTTTGAGGTGTTAAGACTTATGAAGTTTGGTTAGTGAAATGAGTGAATAAGGAGGAGATGAGCCCAAGGGAAGGGTCAAGCATGTCATCAATCTCAAGTCTCTTTGTGCCCACAAGAGATCTAAGTCCAGCCCACCTTGAATTCCATTGACTCTTTATCTATCATAATTTGTTTTGACTGTTAGTAGTTCAGATTCTTGTAGAGAACGTTAGCATGCAGTAAACCTGTATCTGAACCGCCTTGCTTCCGGATTTCTTGTGCCTGACAGAATAGCTTAGAACTTTTTTAACAACTGACTTTGATGCTCTAGGAATATTTTTATCCTATTTTAAAAACTTCTCAATCAATTTTTCTCTAAGGGACATGGGTTCAGGCACTATGAATCAGGTAGCTGGAAAACCTCAAGCGCTTCACATTTGCTGTCCCATGTTTTGAGAAAAGACAGTTCCACACCATATTTACTCTCTCATTATATTACTTCTGAAACTCCATACCATTGTTCTCAGGATAAGAGAGAGTAAAGAGGAGAGTAGAAGAGACTCGCACTGTCTCTTTGCCACAGCGGCACATACTGCAATTCTCCACTTCACAGCTGAAAAGCTGCCCAATGACCGAGTCCCCAGAAGATCCAAAGTTGCTAGAAGAAACACAACTAGATCAGTAGAGAATGTCATGAGACAATATTCAGGAGCCCAAATACTCCGGGACAGACAGACTTCGGTTTATTTCCCCCCCTATAATCTCAAAGTCTACTAATGAGTCCACCACAAAACAATAAACCAGGACAAGTATACATTTCTAGAAGAATTAAGGGACAATTTAACTGCATGCACATAACTCAGACCAAGGCCATAACAATTAAAGTTTAGCTTAATACTTTGCTCCATCAATATTCACTCCCAGAGGTGGGCTACTGGGGGTTTGCAGGGGTTTGGGAGAGCCCCAAGCTAAGATTCTGTGCAGTTCGGAGAACCCCCAAATCCCACTCCTGGCTGGCCCCACCCACCCCACCCGCTCCTCCCAGAAGTCCCCAGGCGGCCCGTTTTGGATGCAGGTAAGTGTAGGGCTCACACAGATGCTCGGAGAGGGCAAAAAATGGGCCTCCCGGAAGTTCGGGAAGGCCGGAAATGGACCTGTTTCCGGCTTCCAAAGAGCTTCCGGAACCCAGGGAGGCTATTTTTGCCTTCCCGGAGGCTCGAAAAAAGCCTCCGGAGCCCAGGGAGGGCAAAGCCCCATCCTCCCCGCCATGGTGCAGGAGGCCAACTAGGCCATGCCCACCATGGCCAAACCCACCCAGCAACCGGGCAGGGAACCCTTTGCTAAAAAATTTGAAGCCCACCCCTGTTCACTCCCCAAGAGCAAACTCCCTTCGTTGCAAGAGTTCAGTGTTTCTCAACCTCAACAACATTAAGATGTGTGGACTTCAACTCCCAGAATTCCTCAGCCAGAATGAGAATTCTGGAAGCTGAAGATCTCACATCTTCACGTTGCTCAGGTTGAGAAACATGGCAACAGCCTAATTTAGAGATGTTGTTAGAGAACTGAAAATATTAAGTAACAGATGCAGATGCATTTTATGATCAGAATATACTGCACAACTCATTTTTCTTTGCTAAATTATTAGTTCAAACTAATAATTATTAAATATAACTCTGACCCTTAAGACTTTTTCTTTTTCTGAAGCTCAAACAGCAGATCAAAACAAGATATGGTAAGTACATCATGGTTAACAGCTGTCCAGGGGTGGGATTCTACCGGTTTGCACCTATTCGCTAGAACCGGTTGTTAACATCCTAAGCAGTTCGGAGAACCGGTTGTTAGAAGAAATTACTGGCCTAATCCTGTAAGGAAGGCAGGAAGGAAACATTCTGGTATTGCTTACAGAAACTGCCTCTCCGTTAAACCTTATTACATTCTTGGCAGGACTAGACTTCCTGTCTCAGGAACTTCTCTGGAGTTATTTTTCCTCCTTTGTTGGTACTTTACTTGTGTGGAGTGACCATTCAAAGTTACAATGGCGCTGAAAAAAGTGACTTATGACCATTTTTCACACTTACGACTGTTGCAGCATCCCCACAGTCACGAGAGGCCAGGCGAGGAGATGCGTGCCTCGATGTGAGTGATACTGAGTTGGCCACGCCCAGCCAATAACATGACCACCAAGCCACGCCCACCAACTAAGCCACGCCCACAGAACCGGTTGTTAAAAATTTGAATCCCACTCCTGCAGCTGTCCCATGCAGAGGGTTCATTACCTGCTCCCAATGCCTCGGTAAGCCTGAGGGCCCTCCTGCTCTTGAGTCTCCTGGTGGAGCTGGGTCAGAATAAATCTGTTCCAGCTTTGAATCAACCGACCTAAGTTCACCTTCCCTGTAGCTTCATCTGAATCAGCCAAGATCAATCCCAAAGCAGCTGCTTCTGGGATGGTGCGGAAGGCACGCAAAAAATTACTCCCCTGAGACAAAGGAAGGCAAGAGAAAATTATACATCAAAATAATAAGCAATTCCTAATCCAACATAAGAGATTGAAAGACCACACTCAACAAACCTCTACGTCTCCGCTCTCTTGTAAGGCATGCTTGGTCTGACACCCCCTACATTAGGAATCATGTGGAAAGGACATGAAAGCCACGGTAACCAAAGGAGTGTGGGACTGATTCAAGGGAACTATAGGGGAATGAGAAGGCCAGCTGCAGAATGGTAGGCAGCCATGCTGGTAATCCTTGATTTATGACCAGTTGCTTAAAGACCATTCGAAGTTATGACAGACTCAAAAAAAGTTAGTTACAACTGCTGCACCATTCCTCTGATCATGGGATTTTGGGAATTTGGCAACTGGCTTGTTAGTTGCAGCATCCTACATGATCACATTTTGCAACACATTTTTGCTGTTTTCTGGCAAAAACAACAACACCTGGATAAGTTAATTATGTTTTATGACATGATTCACTTTACAGCTGTGGTGGTTACTTAGGGACCATAGTAAAAACAGTTGTAAAATTGAGATTAGTTATGTAGTGACCTGACTTATGACCAATGATTTATGACCAAAATTCTAGGGTTAATTCTGGTGGTAACTTGAGAACTACTTGCACTGTGATGCTGAATAATTGGGGATGATGGGAGAGGGGAGGAGAAAGAACAAATATGAGACCAAAAAAAAAAAAAAAAAAGATTCAGTGACAGAGGCAAGAAGAAAGCAGCACTGCTTGTACACTTGATGCAGACCTCAATATTTAAGTGAATCAAAACTAGTTCAGGCTAAAGTTAACACTCTCCTTTTTTCTGTTTTGGTACCTTCAAGTCAATGTTGACTCCAGGAAGCTGCCAGTACAACTCCTTGCAATTTTCTTGGCAAGATTTTGGAAGTGGTTTGCCCTTGTCTTGTTTTCTAGGATTGAGAATGACTGACTGGCCCAAGGTCACTCAGCTGGCTTTGTGCCAGCAGGCCTAGAACTCATGGTCTCCCAGTTTCTAGCCTGATGCCTTAACATTACTCCAAAAATTGGCTTCTTAACAGTCTTTTGAGAAAGAAAGAAAATAAATAAGTCTAGGATGTGTGATGGTATACTACATATACTTCCAAATTGATGGAGTGCAAGCTACAGTATGTTGGTTTGCAGACTCTTTCTAAATCAGAGATCCTTGCTTACATAGAACATTAGCGTGCTTGAGAGAAAATGAGGCTTCAATTGCACCTATGGGGTAGACAAAATAGGCCCAAATTGACTGGCAGCACTACTGTCCTTTCTGTTTGCAAGGAATGCTATCTGTGGCTGGTAACCTTGGCAACATCTTCCTCATCCTGCTAGACAGCATTATCCAAAAGCTCCAATGGACCATAGCCATGATGGGCACCTTGTCAAAACCTATGGAATGGAATTTGGCCTAGAGAGGTGTGTAAATTGGGAGAGAGGTGTGTAAATTGGGATAAAATTACAAACAGTAATGGAATTGAAATGTCGAATGACCAAACAATCAGGAGCCATCAGGATGAAGTCTGCCAATCTCCGGGTATTTTAAAGTTGGATAACATCAAGCATGGGTAAGTTAAAAATATGATTAGTAAAGAATACATCCAAAGAGTGAGAAAACTACTAACATGAAATTAAATGGTGGGAACACCATCGATATCTGGGCCATACCTGTTGTACAAATACACTGCTGAAACTAGACATGAAGAATTGAACAGTTTAGACTGAAAAACAAGAAAACTCACGACTCATTACATCCCCATAATGATATTGATAGGTTTTACCTGCCCCGCAGAGGTTAATTTTAACTCAAACAAAGAAAAGTATGCATTGGTTGATTATGTAAAAGATAACCAAGAACAAGCATTGATGCAAGTTAAAAACAGGGGGAAAAACATGAATATCAAAAGCATATCATAAAAATGTGAACAGAATGCTGGCAAGAAAAACATTACACAGGCAATTCCCACAAAAGACTGAGGGGAAAGTTGATAAAGATAAAACTTGGCAATAGCTTACAACTGGAATATTACTAAAGACTTGCATTTGGCTCTGCAAAAACAAGCAATTCAACTGAGTACAATCAAGGTCAGAACTGAAAAATTGTCAAATGATTCAGATTATGCAAAGTGGAAGAAACAGTAGACTATACACTCAGTTCATGCAAAAAGATTACACAAACTGATTATAAACAATGTAACACGAGTTGCCAAAATGATTCATTGGAACATCTGTAAAAATTATCATGAACCAGTGATGAAAAATTGGTGGTAACATAAATGAAAAAGAAAAAAAGAAAAGCTGAAAATAGCAGAGGGTTTCCGAATACACACACACACACAGAGTCTTGACTAATAAGACACCAGATGTAACTGTGGTTGAAAAGAAAAAAGTGTGAATAATTGATGCGGCAACAGTACAGGATAATAGAAGACATAGATAAGATCACAAAGTATCAAGATTTGACAATCGGATTTGAAAGATTGTGGGATAAACTGGCCCTAGGGGTTCTGGTGCTTATTGGCACTACCGTAGCAAAAAATATTGGACGCACTGACAAAATTTCCATCTGATTACAAAAGGCCACGCTGTTTGGATCTGCACATATACTATGCTGATACATTTTGACATCCTAGGTTCTAGGGAAAAAAACATGATATGTATATACACCCAAACCAGCTAAAAAAAAGTAGTAGTTGTGATTTCACATGTGTAATAATGTATTAAGCTTACATGCTGCCTGATTCTAAACAATTTTGGCTGGCTCATAACAAACAAACAAATTACAATAAAATCAATAAAAGAAAAATAATGGTAAGCATGACAGCTCATATGGACTGAAGCAAGGTGTCTCTCTCTCTCTCTCCTTTACCAAAAGCTTAGGTGAAGATCCAGGTCTTCACCGCTCGGTGAAAGTAGAGGTAATCTCAAGGATATATATGAAGAGAGAACAAATGAATTGAAAAGAAGATCGAGAGAATTATCATTGGATAGAGAATCAACTCTATCCAATGATAACTTTATCTTCTTTTCAGAGACATTTGAAGAAAAACGGGCAATATATGAAGCAGTATATGGATGTGGTAGGAGGAACAGTGGTTTGTAAGGAAAGAAAGGCGTGGAGAGCTACAGTGCATGGTATGATATAAACCAGGTTTAGCTATGTTTAGTTTAATTTTAATTTTGACAAATTTAACATTTATCATTGTTTGTATTACAGAAACCATAAATCCCTATTCTGCCCTGTAGCGCTGCTGCTTGACATATGCCAAAGCATTGCCACTCCCAGATAGAAAGCTCCCACCTGGGATTGCTCTAACACACTATGCCTCTATGAAATTGACTCTTTCCAGCTGTATCCCATCATATTCAGTTACCAATAAGTATAAACCAACCAATGAACAATTGGCCCTAAACTTGGTAAACTTGGTTTTTAGCCATTATTCATCATCCTTGCCCAGAAAGTTTAATACAACCCTATACTTGACGCTTTGAAAGAAGTTTCTTGTGTTGTCTTCTAAATAACCTTTGATCAAAACGCCAAAGGTTCTGCTTGACCTTCCCTACCTCGTAAAAGATCTGGTGAACACAAAGATCTGTTTATCTTTACCTGACAAGGGTCTCCCCTGGACAAATCCAGCATGTGGAATAAAAAACCAAGCTCACAGCTGAGGCAGAACTCCTTCTGGCATAAATGATTCTGGACCAAGCAGCGCACAGACTCTAAGAAATAAAGAACCTACAAAGATAGGACAGACAAAGTTACAGTTACAGGAGGAAGAGGAATTGCTTCATAGGCTTATCACAAAAAAAGAAACAATATTGTGCTGACCTGGATCATGCAATTGCAGTAAGCATTTGGAATGTGGGGCTCAAGACCAGCAAAGAGTGTCTTATTGTAATGTTTGAAGTCAAAATCTTCCAGGCCCAGCTTGGAATATTTTATTGTGACCTAAATAAGACAAGCCAAAAAAAAAAAAAAAATGTTCTGGTGTGACAATCTTACAAATCCATTTAGGACAGTGCACTTATGGTAACTTAGCAAAACAGCGTAAGTCAGAGGCCTTCAATACTATAATTTCTCTTTCACGTACACTGCCCTACAGTGCCTTGCAAAAAGATCCTAATTCAAGAAAATTCTCACATCATAATCCCTGTTTCAACATTATGCTTGTGATATTACCATAGTAACCATAGATTTCAATATTAGCATTTCTTACTCCCCAGCTCAAAAATAGTAATAATCTAACAAAGGAAGCTCAGCATTTTTTTTCCAGGTGGGGTTGAGACTTATAAGTTATGGTGCAAAGAAGAGGTATTTTAATCTTTTTCTACTTCCGCCCCCTTGAGTATTTTTACAGTTTTCTCTAAAGAAAAAGGTGAAGATTCTGAGAAGCACTTAAAAACGCACCTTCCTGTATTTCTTTGCCACCATATAGATCCGTGGCTCCTCTTCTCTTCCTATGGGGGATTCAGGGACTTGACTGAAATTATCAAATTCGTTGTCAAGCTCCTTTAATCGGTAGGGAATCTGCAGAAAAGAGCTCACTTTCAGTTTGTCCACTTACCTTTTCCTATTTTACATTTTGCAATGCCAAAACAAAGCAGATGCACAAAAACAATCAGATGTAGTTGAAAATAACAAACTCTTCAACTCCCAAATCCATATGGCTGTTCCTTTCTCCTTCCATCGGGCTCCAAACCACACATCAACGCCATACTTTTTGCAATAATGTTAACTCCAGACTCAACCAGAGAGAAAGACCTTTAGACATCAGGCATCTCCGATTCCTAATTTTCAAAAACCTGAGTCACTGTGGCCCATGGTATGAAAATTTGAGAGCGTTAATTCAGTCGTATTTGTAGGATTTCCCCACCTAACTATAAACAGTAAACTCTTATGAGACAGTCATTAATACTACTTACTTATAGCCCCCCACATAAAACGAGAAGGTCTCAAATTTGCTACCTGATTCCGGAGCTTCGTCCTGGGGTTTGGAGCATATCCAATGAAGCCAACTTTCTTCATGGTCCGAAGGATATCTGGATCAACAGGTGGAGCTCGTCTGCAAAATAGGCAATCATTCAATCCTTTTTAAAAATCTCTTTAATAATTCCTTTTAATGCTATGCTCCCCTAACAGCGAGGATGATACCTCCAAACTCCCCATCTCAAACGATGCTACTTTCACACAACTTCTATCCTCTTCTTACCACTCCTAGGTTGAAGAAGTACCTGGGTGCAGGGATAGAATTGGCCGCAGGCCAGTCAGACAGCAACGACTCAGTGGTCAGAGGAACAGGTATAAGTGACAAGGGCATGAGATCTTGGTTCCAGTCAAGGTGGGGCAAGGTATCCACAATGCAAGGTAAGGCAAAGTCAGTTTCCCGGGAGTAAGCGTTGAAGGTGATCTCAGGTGAATCAGCCCACAAGTGGACACAGCCTTCCGAGTCTCCAAAAACCATAGCTTGTTTGCTGGATGACACATCAAAGCTCATTATTAGCTGCCCCACTGTATTAACATGAAATATGTCAGCAGGATTGGCTAATCCAGTAGGTTCACAGAACTGACATTGACCTAGAACAGAAAGCAAAAGAAGAAATGAATTCTCTCTGGATTTTTAACATAACATTCCCCATATGACTTCGCTTATTTTCTAGGGTGACATTTTGATGAAATAGCATTCTAAAGTTCCAGCACAATGATGATCAAAGTGTGAGATCAGAGGACAATTCAGCTGGCTACTTGCCTGTCTGTGAGATGATGGCCAAGCGAGACGTGTAGGTAGGAATAAACTTCAGAAACAGAGGATCAATGTGGACCTGCAGAGGTGTAATGGCTCTCAGCATGCGTAAATCATACACCTTGAGGAAACGATCACAAGCTAGGCCATTCATTCGACTGGAGAAGCCACATGTCACCAACAGATTGCCATGGACGTCAAAATCGGACAAACTGCCTGAGTAGGCATCAAACTCATGTTCTGCAGCAAAAGTGCGGAGATCACGTAGGGAAACCTAATGAAAAAGCCTAAGATAAATTATATGAGAGCTGCTTATAGCTCTTGGAAGCCAAGAGGTTGAAATAAGGAAGGTGATATTACCTTTCCTGAGGTGTGACCACAAAAGAAGAAACGATTGGACTGTCTCATAATTGTAACTCCAGGAATCTCCACTGAATACTGAAATGGATAGAGATACAGATATAAGCTGGAGTTAAAAAAATTGGACAGGGAAAATTTAAGCCGTTGTTTCTTTTTAACCAAAACATCCACCAACTGTCAGGAAAAGGGTGTTGCTAGAGTACCATTGTGACTCCTTTTTTCTTCTATTCATATCTGTATTGTGATTTTGTATTATGATCTTATTCTTAACATTTGTAACACTATCTGTGTTACAAAACACATTTGTTTTGAAATATGCAATTTTTATTTCAACAGTACCTCTTTGGGGGAGAGAGAGCAGAAGTAATGGTATTCGCACTGATCACAACAAGAACCAGTACTATCTGAAAAATTATCACTGGGAGGGAACAGTATTTCTCAATGAATTATTTCTCTCTAACATGAGCTAAGCAGTATTTCTTCAGCTTTAGACTCACAGTTTGTTTATAAGACTGAGAGAAATTGATATTTCGGTAGAAACTCTTGCTTTCATATCTGTGTTTAACCAAACCCACGCTGTGCAGCAGTCTGAGATTCTTAGGATCTTAGGATTCTTAGGGGTGCCACAAGGTTCTGTCTTAGGCCTAGTACTCTTCAATATCTTCATGAACGACTTAGATGAAGGAATAGAAGAGGAACTTACCAAATTTGCAGATGGTACTAAGCTGGCAGGAATAGCTAACACCCAAGAAGATAGGCTCAAGATCCAGATGGATCTTGACAGACTAGAACACTGGGCCATATCTAACAAAATGAAATTCAATGTAGAGAAAAGTAAAATCCTACAATTAGGCAAGAAAAACCAAAAGTACACATATAGACTGGGTGAAACCAGACTCGATAGAAGTAACTGTGAGAGGGATCTTGGAGTCTTAGTGGACAACCAGCTAAATATGAGCCAGCAATGTGCAGCAGCAGCCAAAAATGCTAATGCAATCCTAAATTGTATTAACAGAGGGATACAATCAAGATCAAGGGAAGTACTAATACCACTCTATAAAGCCTTAGTAAGACCACACCTAGAGTACGGCATCCAGTTTTGTTCACCACATTATAAAAAAGATGTTAAGCTATTTTCTAAAGCGCCTGTTGGCCAGAGAAGGAATAATGGATGGAAACTGAACAAGGAGGGATTTAACCTGGAAATAAGGAGAAACTTTCTGACAGTGAGAACAATCAACCAATGGAACAGCTTGCCCTCAGAAGTTGTGGGAGCGCCATCACTTGAGACTTTCAAGAAGAGATGCCATTTGTCAGAAATGGTGTAGGGTCTCCCGCTTGGGCGGGGGGTTGGACTAGATGACCTACAAGGTCCCTTCCAACTCCGATTATCTGTTATCTGGATCAATTCCACAGTAAAACAACACGGTACCTTCTGAGTTTCTTGCACTGTATTGAGGTCTATTTCAATCACATGGCTGGTTAGACCTCCAACAAGCAAAGTGCCAGGATCAGTCAGTAAAAGGCTGTGCATGTCCTCACTTTCATCCATGCTTCAGGAAAAAAAGGGAACAGTTGACGCCAGATCTGATTGATATCTTCCATTTACACAATTTTCTTATATCTTTTTAAGTAAATATAAACAATGGTACATCACACACACAAAAACCTTTGGTCATCATCAGATATTGACCTTGCCCCTTATTTATTTCAGAAAAACAGACTGTGAAATCTAAGCTACAGTTTCTGTGGAATTTTTCAAACAGGAAATAATCGGCTATGCAATGCATCAGAAGCATAAAATGAAAAAGCCCACATCATGCTTCTAATATCCTGTCTTTTCCATCAGTCAACAACGAACAACATTTTGTGGACCAAAATTCCCAATCTTTGCATGATAAACTACATGATTCCTACAATATAGAATTTCTTGTCTTATAAAAAGTTTTGGCTTTATCAAACTTGGGGTTTACCAAAGAGGATAATTAGATTTAACTGGAAAGAAAGGGAACTTCCTGATATGAAGTTCTCTATATTTGAAAAGTATTTGTTTTAAAAAGACTGAGTATTATGCTGTTACACAATCCAGATTCAATAAATTAATGAAGTGATTTCGCAAAGACATTTATACTTACCATATGTACACTGCCCAGAGGGAAATGGAGGACAGTTACAAAATATGAAATATAAATAAATGGATTGTTTATTATTTGTTATGTTTGGTTAATTTAATCATGGGAATATACTTAATTCCTGTTTCACTTCATTATCATAATTCAATGTAGATCTTTACTATATTTTACTATTTTAATAATATATTAAAAATGGTATACTATAGGCTAAACTCCATAAAATGGATGACTTCTGAACAAAAAAAGGGTGAGACTAAGACAAAAATTGTGGAAAGAATTCCTAAATGTGTCTTACAATTTTAAGGAATACATGCAATTTCAAGGAAGACCAATATCATGATTCAGTGCCTAAATATCTATTTTTAATAATAATTTTTACTGAACATTAAAAACACAAAGGTAGTGAATGCTAAGAAAAATATAACAATTTTTTAACAAAAAGTATCTTCATTCTATATTTCATCTTTTATCCATCAGAAATGATAGACTCATCATTCAATTTTAATCAGCAAAACGGCATTAAGAGTTAACAGAATTTATGTGTGTGTGTGTGTGTGTATTAACATTAAACAAATAAATCAATTTCATATTCTTTTCCTTTTCTTTACACAATAATTTCTCTAAAAATCCAAAAAATCTCTTAGTTCCTTATCTTATATCTGTAAACAAAGTCTAATCATTCAATTTTAGTCAACAAAAATTACATTAATAACCACCAGAAACAACAATATACTGAAATCTTGATATTTAATCCCTTCAAATAATATCCCATAAATTAATTTTTTTATCATTTTCTCTTCATCTTCTCTCAGAAATTCTGTCACAAGTTAAGCACTTGCCTTTTTTATCTCTTTTTCTAAACATGAAACAAAAATTCTTCTTGATGTATCTTATCTATAAGATAATTAGGGCCTCATCACTTATTCCTGGTCAAGAAAAAACTATTAAAAGCTACTTGAAGAAAAAATATAATTTAACCTTGATTGAATAAACTTTTATAATCCTTTGTTTTGCTTTTAAAAATCTTGATATTTATTTATTTTAAGTAATATCTCAAAAACTGATTTGTTTTTCTTCTCTAAAAATGTGTCCAAGTCACTTTTCTGAGTAGAAATCCACACAAAACTGTTGTCAAATATCCTTGAATTCTTTTAATCTTATAATACTACAAGCTGCTCATAGTCTCTAGAAATAGAACAATGCATAGGCTGTAATAATAAATATATGATAAATACATTTACAAAATCTCAATCCATTTCTGGTGTGCACCATTCACTTCCAAGAACTGCCAAACTAACCTCTGAAATGGCATACATTTCCAAGACTTAGTCTAGCATAGCTCAGAGAGAAACTAAATGTTGAAGTAGTTTGTGGGAATGTTCTGTTCCCTGATTTACGACGTTTGCACATCCTTTAAAATTAGATTTCCCTTAAATTCTGTCATGCTGAAAAAGCAATTCAGCACAAGGTTTTGGAGAGTTCTAAGAATTACATTCAAGATTTTGGAGGAAGCAGGCTAAAACCCCTTGCTGAATATAAAGAAAAGGCTATTAAAAACTGTAAGTATTTTGCTATCATCAAAGAGCTCCCAGAAATAGAAGGTACTTACAGGTAATCAAAGATTATGAGCCCACCTCTTGACATGTATTTTAGGTTGTTTTTGGTCAGAAACAGCACACCATTTTCCAGGCTTTGGATCTGTCGAATGTCATCACTGCTGTGTACCTGGAAGGAAGAATACCGTTCCAGGGCTGGACCAAAGAAAGAAGTGGCATGACCCTAAAACAGAGAGAGGCAAGTCAATCAACCTTTTTCAACAATGGGCTGAACGTACAGATATTGCAATGAGCAAGACTTTTTTTATAAAAAAAACCAAATATGCCCAATTCACTGCCTTCTCAATCAAAGGGCCCATTTCCTTTCAATTCTCATGAAATCTTCTGTTTCTTACACCTACTCAAATATTTAATACTGTCTGCTAAGTCAATTAATCTTAGCTTGTTCTTCCTTTGGCTAACATACATGTCACTGTTTAGTCAAATACAGTGAGATCACAAAGTAACTAAGTTACAAAACATTCATCTGTTTCAATTTCAAAAACTGTATTCTATCTTTTCCTAAAATCATCCATTCAAGGCCACCAAGTTAGTTTGAAGCGTATGATCTAATACAAACTTATAATCAGGGGTAGGATTCAAATTTTTTAACAACCGGTTCTGTGGGTGTGGCTAAGTTGTTGGGTGTGGCTTGGTGGTCATGTGACTGGCTGGGCGTGGCCAACTCAATATCACTCACATCGAGGCACGCATCTCCTCGCCTGGCCTCTCATGACTGTGGGGATGCTGCAAGTCGTAAATGTGAAAAATGGTCATAAGCCACTTTTTTCAGCGCCATTGTAACTTTGAATGGTCACTCCACACAAGCAAAGTACCAGCAAAGGAGGGGAAAAAAACTCCAGAGAAGTTCCTGAGACAGGAAGTCTAGTCCTGCCAAGAGGTTAACGGTGAGGCAGTTTCTGTAAGCAATACCAGAATGTTTCTTTCCTGCCTTCCTTACAGGATTAGGCCAGTAATTTCTTCTAACAACTGGTTCTCCGAACTGCTTAGAATGTTAACAACCGGTTCTAGCGAATAGGTGAGAACTGGTAGAATCCCACCCCTGCTTATAATCAAATTAATCAAACCTGGTACATAAACAAAAAACCTACTTACTCCATGGTTTCCAACCCAGAGCATTTCTTCGTGTAGGTCAAAGTGGGAGAAGGAAACAGGTACACCCACTTCTGAAACAATGGTGTGGAGTTCGGAATACATGCCCTCCATGATATGCACTGACTCAGGCACAGCGATGCCTTCCAAAGGAACTCCCTCTGGATCCAGCTCCACATTCTGTAACAGATTTGGGTTGAGGTGGGGGTCTAGGGCAGGAAGTAGGGAGGGAACATACTCTGCAAGGGCTGGATCAAGACCTTCAAAATTCATGGTGGGTGTTTATCTGTATAGCAGAGAAAAAAATACAATCTTTAATTTCCAATGTAGTATAAATATGGTAGAAATATTCATTTAATGAGCTCTTCTTTTAGCCCTAAATTTGAACCAAATTGTAAGATAAAATCAACTGAGTTACATACATGTGTCAAGCAATTTGATCATCCTAATTGTCAATGGAAGTCTTTAGAAAAGCAGGTAGACAATACCTACAATACTAGTACATTCCATTTCTAATCAGAGAAGATTGCTCATGTTCAAATGTTACACTCAGAGGTCACAATCTAAAGAGAGAAAGTGAGGCAAAGGACTGCATACAATAACTCCCGATAAGGGAATAAATTATGAGTAACAACACAATTTTAACTCAACAGAATATTGGAAAGAAGTTATGTAAAAAGGCCGATTTTCCAAAAGCAAGATAGTTCTCCCTAAACTAAACAGAATGTGTGTGGAGGAGAGGAAGGGAAGAGAGAAGCCAGCAAAAGAAAGATTGCTCAATTATGGGTTAGTGACTGTAGACAACAAAAAGATCTTTATTTTTCCCCAATGTATCCTTATGGTGGAGGCAGTTGGACAGTGCATTCAAATGTTGCTGGCTACTCCATTCTAAGCCCCTCCTCTTGATCCCGTGTCCTATATCCAAGCTACTATTGAGGGGTTGGAAATAATTCCAGAAGCAGGCATTGATTTTTCCTTGTCTTGTTTATTCTCATACTTTCTACTTGTTATATTGTATACTGCTGAACAATTATTTCCTGAAGAATTACACGAACATTTTTAATTGAACATCCAGATAAATATACTCAGCATATATTCACTGCTGAATTCAGTAAGTTTTACTGTCAAAACTATGCACTCCTCATTAAAAATAGAATTAAAAAATTTAGATGGAATTTTGACAGGTACTGATGAGAAGGTGATTAAAAAATTATATGTATATTTACTTGGAGTAAAATTAGAAGAACAAGTAAAAGAAACAATGATTGCTTGGGGGAAAATTTTTGGATATGGGATAGATTTAGAAAGATGGCAGAAATTATGATCTCAAAATTATAAAATAACGATGTCAATAGCATATAAAAATAATTTGTATAAGATGTTTTACAGGTGGCATCTACCCGCGGCAAGAATAGCAAGGATGTTTAAGAACAAATCAGAGAAATGTTGGAAGTGTCATCAGATACCTTGATCATACTATCACATGTGGTGGACATGTGTGGAAGCCAAGAGATACTGGACTAAAATTCATACATGGCTGGACAAAATGACAAAACAGCATATAGACTTGAAACCAGAGATATTTTTATTGGGTATCTTACCTGAAGGATATAGTAAAAATTGATATATCTGATTATAAATGTATTAACAGCAGCTAGAAGTGTATTTGCCAAAAATCAGAAAAGTGAAAAAATTCTGATAGAAGAGGAGGTCATTAAGAAAATAATGGAATGTGCAGAAATCAGTAAATTGACATTAGCAATTAGAGAGCAAGAAGTCAAAGATTATTATAAAATTTGGGATTTATTTTATCAATTGCTAGATAAGAAAATAGGGAAATAAAATATATTATAAATATAACATAATAGTAATGATAATGATATGTTATAAATGATTATAATGAAATGAATGATATTAAGTATTAGGTCATGTAATAGTTGAGATTTGCTGAAAAAGAATGATGCAAATTTATAATTAAAGTCTAATCAGGTGTTAATAACAATATAAAATGCATAGTTGATGTATATAATATGAATTATAATTTAAATATAGAAGGGAAAGACTGTTGACATAAAAGATATGTACCAACCGACACATTGTACAATGGAAAGATGGTTTTATTTGTTGTTTTATGTTTATGTTTGTTTATGTTTGTTGTTAAAAAAAAAACTATTTTAAAAAATAGAATTAAAAAATTGCAGCTGGTATGAATAATTCAATTTCCCTCTACAGAGATGTAGCATCCTGAGAAGGGTGTCTGCTATAGCTGGACTTGAATTATTCTAATGGTGCTGTTTCCAAGAAAGCGGCATTGTCAGATCAAAAAACATAAAAGCATTAAGTAGAATGATATTATTATCCATTATCCATTAGTTTTTCCCATATAAATAACTCAAGGTGTCAAATAAAGCTAATACGTCTTCCTCTTCCTCTTTTCCCCACAACAACCACCCTATAAGGTAGGTTGGCCTGAGAGACAGTGACTGGCTTTCATGCCTAAGGTAGAACTGGACTCAGTCCCTTTGTTTCTAGGCCAGCACCTTAATCACTACACCAAAGTGGCTCTTTTAATAATAAATTATTTATGATCCAAAACTCAACCTTTACATGCATAATAGTGGATTAAGTGTTCAGCTTTAATTTGGAAAAAAATAATATTATTTAAGATCCAAAACTCAACCTTTAGGTGCATAATAGTGGATTATGTGTCCAGCTTTAACTTGGAAAAAAAGTAATATTCAGCTAGCAGATATTTCACAAATGCTATCCTAAACTCTGATTCATCTTAGCATAACAATATGAAGCAAAATTTGACCAAATACGTTGTGTTTTTCAGCTAGAAACTAAATCAGAAGTAAAGCCTAAGAAAAAAAATGTAATAAAATTTATCTAATACTAAAATGTGTAACCTAAGTGTATTAAGTGTGCATTAATTGCCACTGAAGAAACTGAGATATACTGGAAACAAAAACAAAAATGTACAGCCAATTGTGTTTTGGGGAGTACCTCTAATAGTTGTACTCTATTTACTTCTAATTAAACATGCATGGCTCACAATTAAGCAGAACCAAGTCCTTCCTTAAATGCCAACCTATCTTCAGCTCTCTGACACAGAATCAAAATTCCCAAATTCATAGTTAAAGTTATAAATTGTTATACTAACTGGAATTGGGGAATTGCAGTCTTCCCCTATTTTGGGGGAAAACCACACTTAAAAATGCTGTCACTCAAGCCCTGATCCTCTCATGCCTGGACTACTGCAATGTGGTCTACACAGGCAGTGGTGGTATTCTACCGGTTTGGCCCGGTTCTCCCAAGCCAGTAGCATCGATAAGCAGCGGAGACCAAACCGGTTCTCTCCAACGCTCTGCTGTTGGGCCCACCTCAATCTGGGTTAGTATGGGAGCCTGGGCTTCCATACTAACCTTTATTCCCTGCTTTTGAAGGGCAGCTGCTTTGCGTGGCGCAGCACATTGCTGCATAGCAGCTGCTGAAGCGACAGGGAGAGTGCAAGATTGCAGGAGGCGAGTTGGAAAGCCTCTGTGCCTACGCAAAATGCATGTTTGGCGCACCCACCAAACCACACCCACCGAACAGGTGGTAAAAATGTTTGAAACGCACCACTGTACACAGGGCTATCTTTGAAGAGTATTCAGAAATTACAACTGAATGAGGCAGTACGGGCAGGATTTTTTTTTTGGGGGGGGGGGAGGGCATAGGTTGGCCCATGTTACAGTGGATGCTAGTTTGCATCCAGGTACAATTCAAAGTGAAGGTTATCACCTTTATAACTCTTCACGACATGGATCCAGGCTATCTGAGGAACCACCCCACCCATGCCAGCAGAAAAGGCATGCTGCGGGCTCTGTTGGCCAAAGATTTTCAGCTGACAGGGCCCAGAAGAGCCTTTTCTGCCACAGTGCCTGCACTTTAGAACGACATACACCCCCACCTCCCTGAGATGCGATCCATACCCTCCCTTCTGGCTTCCCCAAAGGGCCTGAAAACTCTGCCGATGCACCACTTGGAGGTGGCCTGGGATTAAGAGAAGATCCCACCTCATGCTGCCTTCCTCCTCACCTTTCAATTGTAAATTTCATCATTATCAAATTATTATTATTATTATTATTATTATTATTATTGTTGTTGTTGTTGTTGTTGTTGTTGGTGGTTTTAATGTTTAGCGTTTTTTAATGTTTGTAAGTCTCCGAGTCACTTCTAGTCAACATGGCGGCACACACAAAAATAATAAACAAAACATTTTGTTACCAATAAAGGAGAATATTTTGTAGCTCAGTGTTTACTCATTACTTACAATTGTACAGAATGTTTATCAAACTTGTTTTGAATGAAAATGGCCAAATAAGGGGTCCTTGGTGCTCTCTTGAGCTTGCTTTTTTTCTTGTAGACGTTTCCCTTACCCTAACTAGGTACCTCATCGGTTCTAGTAAGGAGTGCTGTTTGCTGTCAGTTTACATGGTACACAATTTCGTTGCAGTTAGCGTCTATAGAACACCACCTTATCACCATTTTAGTGTTACTTATTTCCAGGAAGAACAGACAGACATGGGAGAACAGAACCAAAGAAATTACCACCCTTCTCACTCCCTCTTTTATTTGGTAAATGAGGACCCAGATTGTTGGGGGAGAGGGCAATAGGCTGACTCTGTAAACCGCTTAGAGAGGGCTGTAAAAGCACTGTGAAGCGGTATATAAATGTTAAGTGTTATGGCTATGTAAAGGATGGCACTGTGGAAGCTGCACGTTGTGAAAGATTGGTGGATATTCCCTTCCAAACGATCATCGGCCATAAAAAAGCCGCGGCTCTTTCTTTGCTTGAACTACAATTCCCAGCATCCCTCATCACTGGCTGCGTTGCTCCAGCTGTTACAGTGTTGTAGTTCAACCGCATTTGAAGGCTTGACGCGCTCTGGCGACCTCAAGGAAAAGCGGGAGTAGAAGCTGCTAAGAGGAGTAGAATCACCACCCTCGCCATTTCCCCTTTCGGATCAGGGACGCCCTCACAAGGCTGGCCTCCGTAGTCCGTGTCGGCCGAATCAGAAGCTAGCCCACAACCCACCGCGAAAAGTGAGGCTACGGGAAGTTCACATAGCTTCCTGTTCCCATAACCCCGATTACTCGGGGCCGTAACATTCACACGTTAAGCGCGCCTTCCCATCCTTTCGGGGAAACGATACCCAAACTCCGCTCTCCAAAAGGAGGGGGGGGAGCATTACCCACAATGCTTTGCTGTCCGGGGTCGCTTCGGCTGTTTCCGCTTCCTCACCTCCTCGGCCTCTTCGCTGCAGCTATAGCAACCCGAACCATCCTCATTTCTTCTCCGGCGTCCACCTCTCAGAACTGGCCGGGGAAAGAAAAGCACCCGCGCGCCACGGCCAATCACCAGACGGCCTCGTGGGGCAGGATCCAATCAGCGAAGACGTCGTGTTAGGCGTACAGCGTGCGAGGACGCTCTTCCCTTTCCGCGTTTCCTTTCTTTTTGAGGAAGGACGGAAATTCGAAAGGGACAAAACAAAAGTGCTTCTCATGAATGTGACTCAACCAATTAAAGAAATTCCTTCCCTTCCCACCCCCACCCCGGTCGAGAGTGAAGTCGTTTTATGGGACTTCCTCCCTTTCACGTCTTTTGAGGCATGTGGGAGGGAATCGAGGAGCCTCGCCCATACACAAGAGTGACACAGTGTCAGAAAAGTGTTTCCCACCCGGCGGGAACAATTACCGGTTTTTTAAAAGTGTATTTTTAATCTCACGCACAATCGTATAGCTCTTCTGTACTTTCCTGCCTCACTGAATCAGTGCAATACGCGCATTCAGAGGCTTGCCTCTTCCTTTTCTATAATGATGCAAGCAAGGGTGGAAAATTTCCAAGATCTGGTTGGAAAAAGGGTGGCTTGGTTACACAAAATGCACGTGTCCTCAATAGAAATACCTGGAGCAAGTTGGGAAATGCTAAAAACGCTCTTCCTTGATGCTGCCAAAAAACCATCCAAAAACATCTTCCTCTGTAAATGTTCAATCTATAAAGCTCTATAAAGGGTATAAAGCTGTCAGAGCATTTCTGCACTGCAGCCTTAAACCAGCTGCAAAGAAAACTGGCTTAAATCTCTTCAGATTTCAATCATTGCTGTATTTGGATCACAGGGATGGAGCTGGTGTTCTGTCTGGACAGTGCGCTTATTCCCTTGCTGCTTCACCCTTAACCACCTGTACAGAGGAAGCAAGCGCCAAACACTTTTGTTTTAGGTTTGTTGGATTCACTTGACAGAGTGAGAAGGGTCTGTGAGTGGAATTGATGGTGAGGAGTAGACTTGGTGTCATGGATGGTGTGGGAAGCCCCTCCCCAAAAAGAATGAAATATTTTGGGGATATTAAAAAGACAGAATAGAATATTTCCCCTAAAGGAGAAATGGGGGGAAAAAATCTTAAGAGGCGGAAACCAGTGCCTGTTTCTCTGCCCCAAGCAGAAACTGAGGAGGCCAGCTTTTAGAAATGCAGATTTATTTGGTAATTCATTCAGAAAGATTTGGGTCAGGCAGAAACTCAAATAAGCAACAAAGCTTGACAGATTACCTCAGACAAACACCTAGGATTTGCATTTCCCCTTTTGCCTATAGAGCCAACCATGACCCCTACATGACCCCATAGGAAACCAATAGGTATAAAAACCCACCCCTCTACACTCCATTTTGTCAGCTGTCCCAGAATCACATGTGCTTTGTGGTACTGCTGAATCAATAAATGGAACCTTTCTTTCCAATTGGCCTCCAGCCTCCATTTTATTTCCAGTGCCTTTCTCCTGGCTTGGAACTGGACCAAGATATTTCTTCCAACAGTGGCATATGGGATTTTCACCTCACAACGTTTTAGGTACTTTAAATATTAGCAACTGCCCATTAAGTCTTGCGGCAAGGAATGCTATGAATCAGTTGTACATTGTATAAAATATAGCTATGATTATTTTCCTAAATCAGTTCTTTCATTGGGCGACTTCACATTCTGTTAAGAGATAGGCAATATGGAGTCCTTTGAGCTCCAATATGCAGATAAACATTTCTTTTGTGCTCAGTGACTGTCTACTTGCTCTTTCTGCCTTTCTTTTTTTTTTTTTAAAGAAATACGTAGGAACTGATATGTTGTCAATTAAAATGCCAATCTCCAGGATCTTAATTTCCAAGAAATGACACTGGGCTTTATATAAATCTGATAACCTGGTTGATTAAATGCTAGAACATCAGTACTAATTCTTAGAAACCACATAGATAGACCTTCTCAGGAAGTTCTATCTCCAGCATGGTTCCTACAGCGCACCCATCACATCTACATCAATCCATATTATTGCTGATTGACTTCCATCATTCTCAGCATTATGTACTTCTCAAAAGAGATGTGTCCAAAATATGATAAGTTGACCCTGATCATTTGTGTCTCAAGTGAGAACTTGATTGATTTTTTCAGCTGTTTGTCTGAGATTGAGGGGGTGAACAATAAAATATCAACTCACTCCTGTAGCTTCAGTGAAGTTTTTTATTCATCTTCCACACCACAACAACAGGTAACAGCGATCAAATTATGTTTAAAGTCAGCTCTGGGTTTCGTTGCAACCCAGAGCTGTATTTATATATGTTATACTTTGGATAACAACATAATTACTATAACCACCTTCCGTCTGGCTTCACTGCCTAACATCCGGCATCCTTAAATTAAAGAAACATGATAACTGCACCTTTCCCCTGCTCGATGAGTCCATGTACTAATCATTTATTTCTTATCATTATTACAACATCACCCCCTTGACATCCAGCCATGAATCATTATTATCACACCACTCCTTGTAAGGAAGCCGATGTTAGTTATTTGATGAATATTCATTATAGCGTCTACATGGTAACACTAGGCAAGTGAAAGAATATGGCCGTATCACATCCTGGCTGTCTCGGCTCCAGTCTGTTCTTTATTGGAGTCGTGACAGATTTGTTATACAAGCCAATTTTTTTTTCTTTGCTCTCCATCGTATTCTCAAGAGTGTCTTCTCAAATATTGAAGCTTAAAAATATCAATGCTCTATCCTGCTTCTTCAAAGTCCAATTTCCATGTCCACAGAGTATCAGAGGGAAAACTACTGTCTGCTTGATTCTGATCTTTGTAGGTATGGACATATCATGGCATTTGAATATCTTTTCCAATGACTTTATTGCTACCCTAATAAATGCTTATCTGCAACATATTTCTGATTCCTGGTTCCTTTATTGTTGATAGTCAATGTTAAAAGGTATATACTACCTACCAATAACTTCTTTATTAGCTAGAAGGCTAACCTGAGGTTTTAGATGTTTCAGCTCTTTATTTAGAATAGGAACAGTCTGGGGAATACAAGCCGCGGCAGCCCTTCATATAGGGCTGGCTCGCGGCTCGGCGGCCAATGGCAGCGCTTTGAATCTCCCGCGATCGGCACAGCCAATCGCGGTAGATTCTTAGCACTCCAATCACGGCCGGGGTTTCGACCAATCAGGTCGCTGTCCGTCTGGACCAATCAGTTGCGAGGGTTTGGAGTATGCTAATACAGCACAGTCTATATGATTCTTTTTTCCTTCTGCTTGGTAAATAATAACAAAGATCTTTGAAATGACATTAACAAGCTTGAGCACAGGTTTAATACACCCAGTCTCTACTTAAAAGGAGAGGAAACAAGGTATCACGATATAGGTATCATGATTGGCCATAAAATCATCACTGTGCAACATGTTCCTTTTTAACTGATACTGTATTAACATAGGCATCTGAGAGTGGTAGTGGTTAAGGCAGCAGCCTAATAAACTGAGAAACCAGGAATTATAGTCTCACCTCAGCTCAAAGCCAGACAAGTGATGTTGGGCCAGTCACTTCTCTGAGCCCTAGAAAGGCGTCTTATCCAGGCAGTCTCTGAGAATTGGACATGATTGAACAGAAGTGGAAAAAGAGAAAGATGGAGAAGAATTAGAAAATAGTCTATAAGTCTGTAACTGTGGCAAATATAATGAGAAATTCCTGCCTAAATTATTCTAAATTGCAGCCTGGGGAAAGAGTGTAGATTTCCTTATTTAGGGCTGTTTATGAACCATAAATATCATGATAAATTGTCAGGTATGTGGACAGAAGGACTAATATTTTTGGTGTTGAATCATAAGAGCTAGTGTTGCTCCCTGGTTTTATATTCATTGGTTAAAAAATTGGGGAAATAAAAATAATATTCAGTAACTATTTTCAAACTACAGATTGTACAACTTTGTACTATGAATCAATGGCTATAGCAGAGGCAGGAATGAGATACCAACACTTATTTTGTGCAGTTTGGTTCTTGGCAGATATTTATTAACTTAAATATAAAACTTTTATCTAATTTTATGAAAATTATTCTATTTTTTCATATTGTTCTTTCCTCAGTTATGTGATTTATGTATATGTTTTTTTCTTGGGAATCTACACTTTAGACATGTAATAATAAAATTCACATAAAAGGAGAGATTTCATTTTTCCACTTATCACAGAATATAAGAATCCAAGTTATTTCCGAGGGACTTCCGGTTTGTCGGCTTCGCGAGCGGCAGGGATTTGCGAAGCTGCGCGATCCCTGCCGCGCTAGCCGTTTTTGGGGCTCCGACCCAGACGGGTACGGAGCTAGGCTGCCCTGCAAGGGCAGCTGAAGGTAGGGGGGATCCGGAGAAGGGTTTGGGGGTTTTGCAGACCCCCTCCCCGGCCAGCAGAACCCCCTTTTCCCAGGACGGTGCAGCGGCGGTCCGTAATGGCCGCCACAAAGAAGCTGGCAGCCGGGTAAGAATGCGCAGGAGGAAGTGGAGAAAGTGCTTGAAAGGAGAAAGTTTTTCTTGGCTCCTAGGACTCTAAGACATATTTAACAAAATTCCTGAAAAGTATGACTTTCTGAATGATACCTTCGAGAAGAGGAAAAAAGCGGCAGTTTAATGGTGCTGAAAGGATAGCTTACCCTCTTTTTCTACGGAATAAAAAGTGAATATTAAGAAATCTATTTTTTTTTAGGTGAAAACTGGCTTTAAGCGATGAGTGGGAAAAGAGAGGACTAAAAAAAAATATTTGTATGCTAAGACTTTGTTGGAGGAGATGCCTTAAGGATTGAAAGACTAAAATATATTGCAATAAGATTTTAAGAAACAGATTTAGACTTTCTTTTTCTCTGATTGATACTACCCTAGGAGGAGAGAGTGGGAACTCTGTCTTGGTTTGGACTGACTGATAACTTTGGGATTGTCTTATTTTTCCTTTGGAATATTCTGACTGTTGTAAGAGAAAAGAAAAGAAAAGATTTATAATGGCTCCTTCTATTGAGGAACTGAGAAAAGATTATGAGCAAGCAAAAAAAAATGGTAAAGCTGGTTTGAAAGAAGCCTTCCTTTTTTTAGAAATGGCGCTTATTAACTATCAACAAACATTGCAGCAGATGAAGACAG